TCGATATATGCTACAAGCAGTTGGCAAATTTTGGCATGAAGATTGTCTGAAGGTAAATTAGCGCTCAACTCATCCTACTTTTATGACATATCAACTTTTACTAACTGAAAGAAAAGGGAAGTTAAACTTTAATATAATTGCATATTTTTTATCTTTCCTATTTCTTTCGTTCTCTCTTCCTTTCTTTTTTTTTTTTTTGCATTTTTCTTTCAAATTCAACTTTAAAATTTTGGGACAAAAAATGGAAATTTCGGCAACTTTTTTTTGTTTCTAACCAATTATTTCAATAAATATTTGAAAAATATTGCTTGAAGTTTTTGATATATTTCAAATGAATGCAAAATAAAAAAAGAAGAGAAAAAAGGAGAGAGGGAGGTTGATAAGGAAGGAAAGAATGAAGGAAAGAGAGAATAATAGGAAGAAGAAGAGAAAATAAAAAAGAAATCAGATTATAAAATTGATATAATATGATTTCAGTGCGTTTGTTGTCTTTGTCGATTAGGTGAACTTGGCTCAAAATTATACTATAAACAAAGTATGATCTTATGTGCTCGTGATTATTTGCGATTATTTGGCTTAACGGGTACTTGTGCTGCATGTGATAAAAATATTCCGGCATTTGAACTTGTTATGCGTGCCAAAGATAATGTTTATCACTTACGGTGCTTTGCATGTCAAGTTTGTAATCAACGGTAACCTTTTTAAAAGTTCAATTTGTATATTTTGCAAAGAAAAAAGTATAGATTTTGAAATTTATTCATTCTGAATTACAAAATGATTATAGATAGATGGAAATAATATAGTTTGTTTTCTTTTTTTCTCTTTTTTGTAAATTAAAAAAAATAAAACAAAAGTAAAAAAAGAATTTTTTTTAACAGTTACTTCATTATTCGTATGTTAATAAATTTTTTTAAATATTGCATTTTTTAGATTTTGTATTGGTGATAAATTTTATTTATGCGAAAACAAAATTCTTTGCCAGTATGATTTTGAAGAGCGTATGACATTTCATCAAGCTGCATACAATCAGAATTTAGCCAAACTCACCAAAAATATCGAACAGTTGGAAAATTTTGAATCGGTTTTAACTTTAATTAAAAAAATTTGTATCTTAAAACTTGGAAGAAAAAAGGAGAATGATTTTGTAAATTTTAGTTTTTTGACTAGTTTAATAAAACAAAATTAAATTCCGTTTGATACAAATAAATCTCAAAACTGTAAAATTTACTTTCATACTAAGTAACAATATTTTTTTCCTTCTTTGCAAAAATTAATTGAATTTTAAAATTGAAAGATTTTAATTTCAGCTTGGAGCAAATATAGTTGGTTCGTAGGTTTCAGTCACTTCCATCTATTGAACAAAATTAGTTATCCAATAATTGCATTATTTTTTGCAATGAAATTGGGTGTTTATCGATTCGGGAATATCTATTTCAATTTTTAATGGCAATGGTATTGCTGATGTTCACATAAATGGTTGTAATTTGACTTAAAATTCGAAAAAAAAAGCTTCGATTTTTTTGTCACATATTGAATAACTTCAAATTTTTAAGCTAGATATTTTTTTGTCTTTCAAAATTATGCTATATATTATCGTTCGAGAAATAATCCAAAAGATGATGACAAATTTTAAAAGAATTTTTAGGCATTTCTTTCTTAAAGTTTTAAATCATCCCCAACAAATATCTATTATATGTAAATTAATTATTGTAAACAAATCCCTATTTTTTTCTTTCATTGGCTTTGCAGAAAAAAGTGAATTTCAACTTATCAAACTACAATATAATCAGAAATTATTTCATACCAGTGTTACGAAGAAATAATTCATAATTTTATCAAATAGAAAAAAAATTTTAAATACTTGCATGAGAAAAAAACAAAAAGAAAGAAATTATAATGGATTTTTTTTTAATTTCCAATAATAATCGCAATAAATATTGCCATTAAATTCCTAAAATCATATGGTGTCGCTATGTAAATGCATATCTAAAAAGAATTATAATGAGTTCAGATAAATTTACAAATGAAAAGATGAAACATTACAAAAATAACACGAAATAGAACAATGACCACGTACCAAGCTATTACACATTTGAATAATGAAAACAATGAATTAATTTATAACTGTAATGATACAAGATTTTTAATTTCCAATAATTAATTTATAACTGTAATGATACTCTTATAAGCAAATAATTCAATAAGTAAATGGCAAATGTATCAATGGACCACATATTTCCTTTATATATTTACAAAAAAACAAAAAAAAAAAAAAACAAATAAATTAAATAAAATTAAAAATGACAAACCCAAATTTCAACGATTAATTCATTTAAAGTAATTGATGCACAGTAAGAGGTTCTGTTGTCAATTAAATAAAAGATTAATTGATTTTAAAAGTGTAAAAAAACACAATTAATGGCAAAATGGCATATTAAGCATTTAAATAATAAAATGATGCAATTTTGCTTCGTTTCTTTTCCTTTTTTTGATTTTGAAAATTACTTTTCGCCGATTTAATATTATCTATTTTGTTCATTTACAGCTAATACTATTCCATAATGATCAATTATCATATTGATTAATCTATCGTATCAATTTGTCGCTAAACAATGCAACATTGTGAAAATTATTCCATAACTATTAATTAAATCTAAGATTTCATTTCACTCATATCCATTAATTTGCCCACATATTATTGCTAATAATATATAAGCATATTTATATCATTTACATAAATTACAAATTTCTAATATTTCTTCAAATATTTAAAAAAAAAAAATTACATTAAATTGCAAATAAAATTTTATTGGCAATAATTATTCGAAGTACTTATTATGAATGAAATGTGTGTTACTATATGTGTCTATATATTTCAGTAATAATATATTTACCAATAACTGTGACCCAATACTATCACTTTCGAGTAAATAATTCTTATTTAAATGTAATAAAACTATTTTGATACATTCAATGACTATTTTAGTAAATTATTTATTAAATTGACTAGTAACAAAACAATAATTTTCATTTTTGATTTTACTTACATTAGTTATTATTTACCATTTGAATGTAATGAGACTCTTTAGCAATAGAAACTGTTCTGCAAGAAAAAGAAAAAAAAAATCTTCCATCGTAAAATATTTCAAACTTGAAAATCGATTTTCTCAGCTATATGCATATCAAATACTATTATATGTAAGCGCCTCTTCTTTTTTGATCTCATACGCAATCAGTAGAGCACTGCTCAATACAATAAAATTAAATCAATATATGAAATTACTCAATATAATGAAATTATTGTATTTCTATCTGAAAAACAATTCATTTATTACAACATCATTTATACCTAAACTTTATTCATTATTTCATCTAGTAATATTCCATTGCTAGTAGCAATTCATTAATGCATTACTCTCGTTACCTTTTCCTCCCTCTCTCTCTTATGATAAATGAATGGCTTTAGGAAATTCATTCATTACTATCACCTCTCAATAGACAAATTAACTTTGCAATAAATAATAATCGTTTTCCTACTCATTAAATGCGCTTTTCATTTTTTTCAACAATCATTTTAATAATGAGCAAATTAATTACTTGCCAAAATTCATCAATGTGAAAATTCTTCCATTACTGAAAATCAAAAAAAATTAAGTTCATTTTTTTTCTTTCTTCCATTTCATTTAATAATGCTATAAAACTTAATATACAATTAGAATCTTAAACACAAATATATTATATATTAAAAACACTGAAACGAACAAAACATGTGTATTTCTTTTGCTTGCATTCTTAAATGTGAAATATTGCTCACATTTATTGCGATAAATGCATGGAGCAGAATTCAATTGTTGTTAATATATATATATATGCACAGAAACATCAAACACTGAACTGAACTTCAGTATAATGCAGTTCGTTCTTAAAAGATCTAGCATTAAAAGATCTGCCAAAACTGAGAAAACACAGTGAATGCAATTTAGAAAATAAAAAAAAAAAAAAAAAAAAGGAAGAAAATGTTCAACTATACATTCATATTTAATTATTATTAAACTATTTCATGTTTTAACACAAAACTATTATTATATTATCGACACTATCATTTAACTGATTAATAGAATAATCCTATCTATCACATTATTCCACATTTGATTATTTATCATATTTGATTGAGATAGAGTTTCTTATTTAATTACAGAAACCGCTTCTTAATCATTAAACTATATGCAAACTAGACAAAAAAAAAACGCTTTCTAATTTCTAAAACCTCTTGAAAATAACAATTTAAATCCAAAAAAAGAAAGTAAAAAGGAAAATAAAATCAGATATGCTGAAAAAAAAAACAACAAAAAGGGCAAGGTGATAATGACAAGATTACAAACTTTGAATTGTCTAACTAAAAGAAAATTATAGAAAAAAATTAAAGAAAGAACATATATAAAAAAAAACAAATGCTTCCATACTCATTAATGCAAATACTAATAGTAATTGAATGTATTTCACCTCATTTTTTCGTTTTATCTTTTCTTTTTTTTTTTTTTTTTTTTTGTAGATTTCTCAATCTAAAAATTAAAATTAAAAAAAAACAAGAAAAAGGAAAAAAAAGTGGCACAACACACTGTTGACAGTTAACAAACAAATGCTTAGTTAATATACTTTAAAATTTAGTTCCAAATATATATATATATATACCACAAGCTAAAAATTAGCAACATGGCGTGATAAAATTAACTGATGTAAATTATCAGCATATAAACCAACAAACGCATAAGCAAAATGACTTTACAACTTATATCATCCAATATTTACATCAAACTTGTGCACAGCATGATGTTTACAATATTAAACGTTGAAATTGCGCTACCTATACTAAAGATGCTATAGTGAATGAATGAACTAACAGCATAGATAAAGCATACTGTTCCTTCATATGAATGAAATATATAAAAATTAATTTTAGCAATGTAAATGCAGAAGCAAACATACTCATCTAGTAATCGTTAATCATGCAGAGCAGCCAAAATCTTTTCTAACCATAAGTCGGCGTCAACTTTCGTATCAGCAAGTAATGAATATACACGTCTAGAGGTACGAACCTGAACAATTTATACAAATTTGCAGAAAATGTTAATGAAATATTAACAGAATAGCTTGTTAAATTACTACCAAACATTGTTGAGATTGGAAACATTTTAAATTGCTAGCATCAAATTATTACAGATTACAAGACAAAGTTAGCATCCTGAAATTTTATGAATCAATGAAATCATTTATAAATAAATCCAATACCTCCAGAAGTGGCTTCCTTAGAGCATGACTAGATGCTATTTCCACAGATTTAACGTCAGCCAAATCAATAACACCACGACAATTTATGTCCGTTTCATTCTCATAATATCTCAACTAAAAAATTATGAATAGAAAAAAAAGATAGGAAACCCAGATAGTTTAAAAAGTTGAAAATTTAAAAAGTCTATAGATTCGAAAAAAAAGGACCTGATGTCTATTTGAGTCAAGAACGAACCAACGAGGTTTCCACATCTTAAACGTAGCACCTTTTTTCATTAAAAATCCACTATACGTAGCACCAGCATGAGGATAATTTGCACTTATTGTTAGGGTTCTTGTATCTACTAAAATTAAAATTTTCAAAAAAAAAATGAAAATAAAAGGACAAAAATACGTAGCAAACGTTTTGCTCAGATGTGATGTTAGTGACCTTATAGAATCTCTTCTTGAAAAAAAATGTTTTCTTAAAGAAAAAAGCCTTTCATCATAGCAATAAATTAATTAATTTATTGCATTTTAAAGTAAGCATGGATACTGCAAAAATTATATCATGAATTGATATAATTTTTTAGCCTGAATAATTTTGACAGAAAAAATCAACCTGTATAAGTTGCAGATCGTCTTGACACTGATGGAAGATCACATTTGGCTGTTACCACTAATCGTTTTTCCTCCGTATTAGGACAAGTAGAAGATACTAGAATTGAACATTTTTCATGACAAACCATACCACATCCCAAGCATCGGTGAACTAAAAAAAAAGGTCCTTTTCACCTGTAAGTTTTTCATAGTTTTGGAAAAAAATGTTAGACTTGAAGAGTTGAAATTTTTCAATGAAGTGCTGATAGCAAGTCAAAAAGAAAAGTGCAAAATCAAACCTGTACGTATTACAACACCTGGAACATTCTGGTGACAAACTGCGCATGCATCTCCAGGAATGACTTGTTGCGTAATAAAATGATGACCCGAATTCCTGAAAATTTGTACGATTTTAAATTAGTATTTAAATAAATTTGTGCGCGATGAATAGAGTTAAATATCTTATTTACAGCATAGCTGGACACCAGAAAGTAAACGGTGAATGATGGGTGCACCGACGACAAATTCACTTTATGGAATGGTACAGCTTTCGATTTCAAGACAATTCTTCAAGCTTTAATGGCCTATTTCAGCGGATTATGACGGTTTCGTAAAATAGTGGCAACCAAATATGAACAATGTGCACATATATCAAGCGCATGAAGATGAAGCTATCCCAATCGATCAGTTTTGCGCTTATAGATGTGACATTGGTGTGACACTGATTGTTTTACTACATCAACAGCTATTCAAATCATATTGTAAGAAATAATTTAGTTTAAATGTGTAATTTTGTCCCAGACTTCATTAATATGCGCATAATTCATGTCAGTAAATCATTTCCTTTTTTTTTTTTTTTTTTTTTTTTTTTTTTTTTTTTTTTTTTTTGTCCAGAATAACGGATAATAAACTGAAAACTTTTGTATATCAACAAAGCATTAATAAAGGACTATTCTCCAACATCTATATCAATTAAAATTAATAAAATCTGATCAATGTTAATTTCTGATAAAAAAAAGAACGCAACAGAAAACTAGTAATAACACACGTGCTTGTTGTACTATCCCTTAGCCGTGAAGAGCTTTGCTGTCGTGATATACCATGAAGTAATAACTTAACAGTTTCCTTCTTTTGAACAGCTCTTTGCACATAGCGATGCCAAATACTTACAGTACTTGCATCCTCATCATTCTATGATAAGCCAAAATACAACATTTTTCATATCAGTGAAACAGATTGTAGGAAAAAAATCATATTAGTCATTCTATACAAATTATAGTTTCAAGTTAAATTTCTCTAAATACACTCATCCCTATACAATACTGACTGAATTTTATTATAAATGAAAATTATTAAATAGATAAGACATTAAAGTGAATTAAGAGAAGTATCTAACTAACTATATTACAGTTTATTGCATCCAAATCTTTTTAAAAACCAACTTGAAAGCATGAAATTTGGGTTGCACGATCATTCGCAATTGCAATCAATGTATGCCATGAATCTACGCCTTTCTCATCTTCATTAGTGAGAAGTGAACGTAATCGTGTAAACCTCTACATAAAAAGGAAGATATTAATGATTTTTTGAGGCTGATTCGTTTTTCACCCTAAAAATGTATTCTAATCATTCTAGGTTTTTTTTTTTCTTCCTTCATTTCTGATCACAGAATTTTGATCCATACCTCAACCAAAGATGAAAATGAATCGAGAAGAAGGAAATGTGTACAACGATAGTTTGCATCCAATAATCTCCTTGGCATGGAAACCGAAGTTCCAACATCAATCAACGATTCTTGATGCTCATCTTCACGTTGTTGTTGCTCCATCTCAGCTATTTCTACAACAATAACTATTTTTTTTATTTTTTGTAAAAATGAAAAATGCCCCAGCGGATAAAGAAATCTAAATAATCAGAAATATTTGCCAGCAGTTCGAATTTTCCAAATTCTGATCTCAAAAATACTTTAGAAAATCAGATAACGAAGAAACAGTTGTAAAATTTACCGATATCGTAAGGTGATCCATGTGCCAAATGATCTTCACAATAAAAAGGCCACAATGTTAAGCTAGCTACATTTGACTGTGGTCGTAAAACAGTGTGCATTTCAGCAATATACATAAAATTATCGAATAAACACGATCTGAAACAATATCTAGGAAGTAATAAGAAAAGTATTTGAAGTAACACATACTACACCTAAATTATTTGAAAAAAAAAATATATGTATATATACCCAAGACGTTTCTCGTCAATGTATGTCCACAATGATGCAATGCGCGGTTCTCCTACTGATAAGGTGAGCGAATCAAACTTAATTCGCTCTGCTTCCGAATCATGCAAAAATGTACGAAAACATGCTGAGGTAGAATGATATGCAAGGAAACGAAGGTAGAAATCATTGAACTCGAATGCTGATGGATACTGTTCCCATGTCTAAAACGTACATTTTCAATTTACTAAAATATTTTCAATTGATGCTAACAATAATTTGCTTTCCTGATGATTAGAATGTAAAAGTACCAAGCTGGAGATCGGATAATTGCTACCAATAGAGCGCAAATATAAAAGAAAACCATAAACACTTCCTTTACCTGATCCAAAGCAAAATTTAACTGTTAATAGGGAACCAGAACTTTTCGATGCTTCAATTACTGTTACACTTAGCAATAAATCAGATATAATCCGATTCTTTAGAGAAAAATACTGAGGTTTTGGTTTAATAGCAAATGGAAGCTCAAGTTGGCAAAATTATTATCAATTCAATGACATGCCTGATGTACAGCATCCAAAAATAATAAAAACATTGGTGCAATACCACTGCTCTGAGATGCAGCTGAATGATTATGACGATGAGAGAAACGATGTCCAAACGCAAGCCATTCTTTTTCTATCAGAACTCGAAATCCTTCGAATGTCCTATAGTATCTTATTTGTTTACTTTTATATAATGAAGAAAATTGAAATTTAAAGCATTTCGTTAAAAAAAAAACCTATATAAACAGCTAATGACATGCCTGTAGTAAGGATCAAGAAGAAGTTCTGAAAGCGCTGTAAGTTGACAGGTAGCGTCCCACCCATCTTCGATACATATAACTACAGTTGAAAGTTGTACATCAATCAGATCCACTACTGCACAAGCTAAATGCAACAACGAAGATACCTGAAATTGTTATAAAATAGTTTTAAATTTCTGAACTTAAATTTCTTAACAATATTAAAATGCTTCGTACCATATGCAACCACAGAGAATCGTCGATTTGCTTTAGGAAGGTCAGCGATGGATCATCATATAACGGCCAGCTTGGACATGCTGCACGCAAGAATTTTTTGAAGGCTATCTTCACATTATGAGCAGATGGATAATTTATAGGGACGAATTCACATCTTTTGTCTAGCTTCAGCATCTAAAAGCGTTCAGGTGAGTAAAATAGGATTTAAATTCGAGATCAATAAAAATGTATTCCAAATGATAATTAAGTAAACTTTAATTCTGATTGGAAAAGTACAGATATATGCTACAAGTAACCTTAGCTTGGCTTCTATCTCCTAATACGTATAATGCCTTCCTTGTGAGACTAGTAAGTGGTTTCGGAATTTGTCCTCGTCCCAAATTTGCACGTCGTGGCTGGATACTGCTGTTGTAATCTACATAACCAACAAAACGGTCACCATTTGTGGCTAAAATTTCTGCTGAATTATATAACCTACAAAAAAAGAAGAAATTTAAGAAGGAAAGTAAATTTTGTCCGAAAAACAGCAAAAATAAATGGATCAATAAGTCTTACGCTTTATTCCAGATCTTCCTCCACTATTACGGACAAAATTTGCTGCATGTCGAGCAATGTCCGTTTGTGATTTACGATATAAATCAGGCGTGCCGGAATTTAGTGATAAACCGTCAGCCGTAATCATGGAATAAAGTGATAACAGTGATTCCACAGACTCAGACATCAAAGAATGACCATCTGCACTTGCCATTCTCGGTGAAAGTGAGGCAAACATAGAAACGTACCTTTCCTAACAAATTAATTTAATAAAAGTAACATATAGTTGAGGTACTTAAATTGCCTTTTAAAAGTGTAATGAGCTAATAACATCTTTGAAATTTATAAGTGAAAAAGATATTCCAAAAAAATTGAAAATTTATTAATAAAAGAAGTAATTTATAAATGTACCTGTAATTCAACACTGTTTGGAGGAGCCATATCACGTGAATTGAGCGACATATAGGAACCGCTATAACCCATATTTTGGTTGTCACTGCTACCGAGGAAATTTGCTTGCTTCCTTAACCGAGTGACTACTGTTTGCGCAGTGAAGCCTGCACCACGTACAAGTAACGCACCGTTATCACTTTTCCATATAATTACTGGAAAACGACCATGTCGGAATCCCTTCCCGATTTTCACAAAATTATCATCAAGTGTATTTGCAGGTACCACTACAATATTCGGATAACTGAAAATAAAAAAAGAGCAGAAAATTTTGCTTTTAAAAATTATTGAAAAGAAAATTTTTCTAAATTTGCTTTCATTTTAAATTATTAAAAACAGTAACTGAGAAACCTATCAGCGTTCTAACCATTCTTGACTCTTAACCTTTCATGCACGCAAACTAGAGATTAGATATTTAAAACAGCATCATAAGTTTGTTTCCAGTACGTCTGACATATGATCCGAAAGCTAATATAATTAGAAAAAGTTGTAAACCTTTTTGTCAGTTCATAACGACGATTTGCATTCGCTAGCCGAAAGGAGCCATGGTTCAAACCCAAACGGTCATAATCAACCAAATAATGACGATGTAATCCACTTGTAGTTGGATCAACCAACTCTCCTAACCATTATTCGAAATGATTAACGGAAACTTGAAAAAAGAATTACTGTTTTACAATATGCTCAAACCCTAAACCAAAGCTCGGGAAAAAAAAGTGAAACTTTCATATGAACGAACTTACCAGATAAATCTAAATAATCATTTTTCGACGAACGAGATGATGCACCTGATGATAAGACATTGAGTGTGCCCGCATCACCGTTTTTCGGAAATGGTGGCAATGTTTTAGGAGGAGCCCGGAAACGTTTTCTTTCTTTCAGTGGATTTCGCATCAACGCTTTCTTTAATTCCCTGAGAGCAAATTTTATGCAAATGCCTAAGTTTTAAAGAATAAAAATAACCTTTATTATTCAATTAAATCACCAGGGAAAGAGTTGGAACTATAAAGATCGGTATGAGTAAACACAAAGATTCAGAGATAATAGCATAGAAAATTCTAAGATTAGATACATAAATAATACAGTGTAATTAAATGTATTCAAATTAAACTAAAGTTCAGTAAAATGCATTACTTCATTGTTCCATATTTGTGTTTCGATGTAATACCACCCAAAGTTGATGAAAGTACTGATGAAGCAGCTGAATAAGCAAACAACGTATGTGGTAAAACAGATGCCCATCGTAAACTACTCAAAGCTTCCATGAATTCTTCTGCTTTCTCACTCGGTACTTCTTCATCAAACGCAAATTTCATGAGCTATAAATGGTCAGCAAAGTGTATAAATACGAATTCAACAAGTTTTAAAAGTGAAGATATAAGTGAGAATAAGGAAAAGTAAACAACAAGAGGTATGAATAAACAAAAAAGTAGACAACACGAAACGTAAAACAATCATAAGACGAAATAACTTCAATAATTAATAATTTACTTGGAAACCCGAACTTCGTATCTGGAAGGCATCATGTAATTGATGTGCCACACGCACGGGAATACCCTCAAGCTGAGAACTTTGAGATGAAGCATCACCAATCGGTTTTTCTTTTGTTATTGACATAACTGTCACTGAACGCACAACCACTTGCTCACATACTGCAATTTATTACCATTTTCACTTCTAAATTTTATTCTTGTAAAAAATTAAAAAAAAAAAAAATTAAACAAAAATCCTTATGCAATTTAATCCATGTCAAGCAAATGAAACAATGCAAAAACGTACAAAATAAATCGCAAGGTTGTCCCTTGAATACAACCCGATAATTGGTTAGGAAAATAGCTCCTTCTGCTGGAAGAAGGCTTTGTGGTGTTTCGCTACACGTTGTGCTCATTACACGCCCATCCGCTAACAAAAATACTCGCAATCCACCAGCAACAATACGTTCAGATGGTAATAAAAGTGCTGGTTGTAGTAATTTCGGCTGTAAATCAATTTAATAGACGATATAAATTAAACGAAAAAATCAAAAGAAATATCAGAATTGAATAAAAATAGATTATTAGGAAGATTCGCGATAGCGAGCTATCTCATTTAATCAAATTGCCTACTGATTAGTTTCAAGCGAATCGTTGAAAATTATTTCAAGAAAACTGAAATTCCAACCTTATGCAAAGGTGAAAGACGTCTACTTTCAGTATAAACTTGTTCCAGATTGTCGATGTGTAATGCAACAAAACCGGGTATTTCTCTACAAAGACGTTCAATTTGAGGCTGCTCTAAACCAGCTGATGAACAAATACGATCGATGAGTCTGTAAAGTGTAAAAACAATAAAATCCAGCAATAATAATTAATAATTCCAACATTAAAGATGGGGAGGATTAACCTGCTAATCCATCGAACAGTAGAATTTCCTAAATCTGTTGAATCGGCTTCAACAAAACCACTTTCCACTTCACTTTCACTTACGGACAATTCAGTTTCTTCATCAAAATCACGCTTTCTAGAATTTCGATCACTTCGCCTTTCCAATTCACGTACATTAACACGACGTAGCTTTGAGACATCGAGTGGTATTCGCATGTATACCATCAGATTGATGTAATGTTTAGCCTATAACACAGAAATCGCAAAAAAATAAAAAATAAATACATTCAACTATAAATACAACTAATTCAGAAATACATAAAAATTCGCCATTCTAAAACGGTTAAAGAAAATGATGAAATAAATTTGACACACTCAATCTACAACATTTAATTCATAAAATTTCAATGAAACAAATGGGTATACTTGTCCATAAACAATTGAATTTTCTTCTGTTGCACGCTTCTCGACTTCATCATCCTGAACATTTGACATGCTTGCTAGCTGATCACTCACTAAATCCATTCCGGAAGGTTTTTCCATCAAGTTCCACGTATCCGTAACGTTCTACAATTTATGGTTTAAATATAAGGTCTTTTCTCCCTGCTTTCTTCATATACTGAATTAGAACTTCAGATTTTTTCCTTGTTTCTACACTTTTCTGGTGCTTCGCTTGTCAAAAGATCAAATTTACGGATATAACCAAAGATTTCTTCATCCGCAAATATAATATCAGCAGTTAAATATTTAGATTTGAATAGAGAAGTAAAAATATTTTATCCGAATAAATACATGCTTCTTTCAGTGGAAATGGGCAATCCGATCCTTCCTTTGTTGGTAAATAGAGCCGTCTAATTTGTCGATGAACATCATGAAAGAATGCTGCTTCCCAAAACTGTTGATTATCCCATACTGCATGTTCTTGAATACAAGTATATGCAAACTGATGTACGCCAGCAGTCAAGCGCTATAAAAATACTTTTTTTTTTTTTTTTTTTTAATATTATGTCCAAAACAAATACGAAAAAATTCTCACCAAACAAAGAAAAAAAGAGAAATCCAAAAAATCAAATTCCTTAATTTGAGATGATGGTTTACCCTGCAATAAATATTGGAGAGATATAGCATCGCATAAGCAATTCCGTGTTCATCCTCTCGAGATTCTTGCTGAGAAATTTTCGATACATAATATGCCCAATTATTATATTGAAAATTCATTTATCTCAGCCAACCTACTCAGTCTAGTTTTAACTACAAATTAAACTATTTTCTATTCTCGATTCCACAAAATATAGCCCACAGCTTTTTTCGAACGTCTGATCAAAATTGTAACCCACCCTCATTCTACATAGATTTATTTTGAAAAAAATATATACATTAAGAGCGCAATTCATTAATCGCACAATTAATTCAAACTGCTGTGGGAATAAAGTTGCACGGTTGATAGGGACAAGATTTTTCCATAGTAATTGACAAAACGCTACACGAGCATTAACACTTCGCATTGATAACTCTACTGCACACATTATCTGCAATCAAATAGATGTCATTTAATAGTAATATAAAATACCGTCCTTTCCAGCTACTTCGCAAAACATATCTTCAAAATATCTATTTAAGAAAGAAATTCCTGGAAAGAAAAACAAAATTATCACCTTCCTAGCATCCGATAATTTGAAATCAAATATATGATGTAAACAGCTGCCAAGAACTTGTAAACGTCTGGATACTGCTCCCATACGTTCCTCTCTAGCAATAATCCAGGGCGTAGCTTGAACACGACGTGGACATAATACAGGTGCTATGTTATTTGAGGTTGTTTTCAGCTTACGTTTGATTGATTGTGATACCTCAAATAATAGATGAATATATGCAAAAAAAAGAATTCTAAATAGAGAAAATTTATTCAGGCCAAATGATTAAGCATTTGATCAGCATGGATTCTATTTCAAATTAGAACCCTGATAAAGATTCTGATTGTGAGAAAACATTTAAATAATACTAACCAAATCATTATTAAGAAGACGTAATTTTGTAGATGAAAATGGAACTGCAAATTGCTGCTGAGTTACAAATGGAGTGACTGAAAACGGAATTTCTTGCCTTTCCTGGAAAAAAATCAATAAAAAATGTAATGTAAAATGCTTAAATTTAAGTACATAAGTAACGCACCGAAAACCATGAATACTAGGAACGACAGTAAGTGGGATAACAATGAAGAAAAAAAGTACATTCTCAAGTAATTTCTCAGCAATCTCAATGATGTTTTCTATACTGGTTGTTCGCGAAGCTAACTGACCATTTGATTGTTCACTAATCTGAGCAACAAGCTGCAAAATTAATAACATATTTTATATTATGCCGTGTAAAATCCAAATTTACTGCAGAACAACCCATTTAATTCCAAATTCCATTTCTTGATGACACACTGTTTCTGAAAATTCTTACATATTACAAAATAACTCACTTCGTCGAATAAGTCGCAAATTCGAAAAGGTAACCCGCGTTCGGATATGAAAGACTGAAAAAGCAGGCTATCAAGAAAAGCACGAATAAGTGGACAAGAAGAAAATTGTCGTAAACCCAAAAATGCAGATTTGTGAAAGACGATTAATGGCGACGTATAAACACGAATAACTTCCAAGCAGCATCGATATCCCACTAACAGATCCGCAAAGAAACGAAGAAAACATGCTCGAATTCTTTTATCCTAAAATACTGCAAATCAATCTAGCTGAATAAAAAAGACAACACAGATTAAAACGAGTAAAATAAAAAAAAAGTAGATGACCTGTACTTCATAAGCAGGAAATGGTGGTTGCCCAACTTTCCATGCATAATCTGCAGTAGCTAGACCGGGAAATAGTACCTATAACATCTATGAATCCATAGCATTCTTATAAATGTTTATAATATCACGCTAGCCTTTTTTTTAAAAAAAAAAATTTCATATTTATTTTCGAAAAATATGCAAACCATCTGCAATGAGGAAGTGAGTTGCTGATGAAATGGTTGAGGAATAATAGGTATTGTAATTGAAGGGGGCACGTAAACAGCACCAACATCTAGATCCACTACAACTGCATCTAAATCAGTACACCGTATACGAACAGTATTTAGCACACCCATGATGTATGGAGTTGGGCTTTCTAGATATTCAATGAGTAATTCAGGCAATACAGGAACATAAGTATGCCTGAAATTGTACAATAAATGTAACAAATAATGCAAAACTGTTATTCACAAACTCGATAATTATCTTTTGAACAATTTGCTTGAATAAGAGAACTGGTATTCAAGCAATTAAAATACAAAAAGGAAGTAATTTTTTTTCACGATTACAACTAAGCACAATATAGAGTTAACTCACGGATAATCAAAAGGATACAGCAGCGAACGCAAAGCGTAGCAGCTATCAGCAAGCAGAGAAAGCGAACTGGATCGAAACAATATCTTATAATCAGTCATGACAGCACAAAGCAAAGTTAGAATATTGTGGATTGTTCCTAAATCAGAAACTATTCAAAATTATAGTACAATATGCATAAATCAAAGATCATAAATACTTTTTTCTCAATAAATTCTTTCAAAGTATTGCCAAATTAAATCAGACAAACCTAACTGCTGCAGAAATAGCGTCACTTTGTCAGATGTGACGGGTATTGTTGGCGATTTGGGAGCTCGTACGGAAAGTCGATCACTCCCTAAGCAAAATGATACCGCAGGCATACCCGGTGTCAGATAAACCTGAGAGAGAAGTGTTGAAATCATCAATTCCGCTTTATCTTCTGCTTCCAATAAAGCCAAGAGGATCTGATTTAAGCAGTTCTGAAACATATTAGTAAATGACCTAAAAATTCGGGAGCTGCTCACCTGTCTAATTAAATTGTTAAAACATTTCGGAAATATACGAGTCAAATTTCTTATAATTGAAAAAAAAAAGGCATTACTCTGAATAAATCGAAAAAAGGGAAACGCGATAATATCACTATAACTTTCGGTTTGAATAGGCTTGGTCCTTCATCAGATCTCGTATCATCTACCTCTTCGATGTCATCTCCACAAGGTTCGTAAACCTAAAAAGATGATTTTTTTTAACATAAAGACTTTTATGCTCTGATCAAAACCATCTACTATAAAACTATAATATATCTGCACGGTAACCAGCATTGACATGCATATGTCACACGAGCTCCAAATAAGCTGAAAATTTAATTTATAGTGTTAACTAGTAAATAAAATAACTACTAACGTGAATAATACAGCATCTTCCCAAGAAATGACTACTATGGAAGATGCTAACACCCTAAATTTATTCCATAACAGCAAGCATATGAAGGCTAATTATTTCGAGCATAAAAATAATAAAATTTTTAAATAGAAAAACCAGGACAAAAATAAATGAAAGTGGAAAAATTGAAAATATAACCTGTAGACAGCAAGCGTATTGTCTGGCACCCATAATATCCGTCAATGTATTTGTGAAGAAGCAAACAGGACGCGTTTCCGCCGAAAGAGCCCAACCTTGTGGCTGAGAAAACTGAAATCAGACATTATTTGAAATCATAATCTCTAATTAAACTAACTTAAATCTAAAATAATTAACTAATGGAAAATCCTTCTCTCTTCTACCCTCTTTACTCTTAACAAGAAGAGAAGTATATGGAGTCCATTATAATCCAGAATGACCCGATTTCCGAATAAAAATTCACAACATACCACTTCAAGGCTTGGTGATAATGATATATCTGACCAATCATATTTTGGGAAGCGTTGTACAATATTCCCAACACTGCTCCCGTGTCCTGAAATGGTGGTTTTTAGCAAAAATTTCCTTTTTAAAAATTTTTTTTCAAATACAAGAGATCTTAAGTCTTAAGTTAACGTTGTAATTTAAATCTCTAGAATAAATATAGATGAGCAGAACCAATGATATATATTTAGTAATAAAACTAACGGATTTGAGTTTCATCAAATTCGATGATGACAACGTAATCTACAAGACGGGTACTTGTTTCTTCATATTCCGACATTACAGTGAGTCCAGCCAGCACACTGATCCTGGATAGAATTATTGGATGTTTTCAGAAAAAGAGTAGTCAATTGGACTTTTTTTGAAAATTAATAAAGCAAAAATCTCCCTGATTTACAAAGTTAGAGATTATAAAAGAAAAATTTCTGCTGTTTAGAGAAAAAAAGGTGAAACCACAAAATCGAACAACAGTCTTAGCAATAATTAAAAAACAAAAAGTAAACATACTTCGAAGCAAAAATTTAATGTCGAAACTTTTGACATTTCATGTTGAAATTTTTAACTTGCTGAATGATGTCATAAAATTCCAATTTAGCAATTAGCTAGGAGAAAACTCAATTTGAATCCAATTTTATACATTAAAAGATGTACATGGTTAAACAAAAACCGGAAATACAACACATAGCGTTTAATGTTCATTACACAGTTCTATTTATTAATCACACTTTTACATTTACATGTTTTTCAAACTATTCCTATTATTTTTTAATTTATTTACTCTTTAATTAAAAATAGGTTTTTTTCTTCAAGAAAAAGAAAACCTATTTTTAAAATTTTATGCATATCTTATATTGCACCATCCACAATTTGACACATCTATGTTTTTCCAATTTCCATGTTTAATTGAAATAATAAAAAACTTGTATCATCCAAATATCGAAAAGAAAAGCAAGAAATTTTGAACATCGAAAACCGAAAATAGTGGAATTCCGCATCAATGGTAAAAGATACTGTCGGGCAACTGTTATAGATTGGTGGTTGGTTTAATATTAAGATGCGTGTGCTAAATTTACTCATGAAGAAGAAGTGAGAGATGAATGAATTGTGGGGGCATTGGAGATTTGAAGGAGGATTAGAGATAGATGGAATTGCGATATTTAATAATTATGGTACTGCGAAAGAGATTGATAAGATTTTTAGAGAGCATATAGGCAGGGGATTGAAGAAGAAAGTTTCAATAAAGAATGGTGAGAGAAATGAGTGTCATTTAGAAAATTTGTTATACAACTGATGAAGTTATTTGTTAAAATTTATTAAAATAATATAATATATTAGGCATAAGTAGTCAGATAAAGCTTGTTTTTAATTGTATTAATCTAAAATTAAAATTTCAACCGTTTTTCCATACCGTTCATAGCATCTTTAATTTGTTGACTCATTCTATTTATATGAAAAATTTTAATGGATTAAAATTAGTTAAAACTTGAATGTGGAAAATTGATATAGTAATTTGAATTTGTTCTTTTATAAAATGTTTTCATTATTATTGCTTAATTAGTTTTTATTTCTAAATATTACTGAGATAAACAAAAATAATGCATACATTGAAATGAAATTATGGAGCAAAAATCGAACATAAATCCATTTTCTCCATTTAAATTTTTCATTTTCAGAATATAAAATGAAATGCATGAAGTTACGCTTTTAGTATTACTACTATTTTCTGCATTAGCAACGGAAGAATCAAATTTGCTCGATAGCTTACATTTACCAGAAGAGCATATTCGATATTGGGTAAATCGAGATAATGCAGTGCGAAATTTATGCTTCAAAAATGAAATTTGTCGTTTAAAGGTTACTATTGTCTGTTTGTTTTTAAATAAATTTTTCAGATCTTTTTTTCTAGCAATTCTAAAAAGAAGGTATTTCTAGCAGTGGTAATTCATTATTAAATTAAAATCGATTCACTAAAATTGTTTTTTTTTTCGTCCCATATAGTTCATATTATTTTGTTTCACATGAATCCATTTAATTGCGTTTCTCCAGTTAAATCTAAACTAATTATTAGCGATTAGATTATATTCTTTCCAAGTTTTTGTCCTTTTTAAAATAATGATTGCTATAAAAAGTGGTATCACATACGAATACAATTTCAGCATACAATAAACAATAAACATTGTTGGGGTTATGAGTCAAATTGTGAACCAGAAAACAGTTATTCTGTGCAAAAAACAAAATGCACAAAGTCAAACAGTTGGTTAGTTTCAAATTTTGTAGAGTTATTACTTCATATATATTTATAGACAAAAATATCAACTTTTTTTCTTCACCCTTCGTTTTCATATCTGTATTTATTGTATTCTGATAATTATTGTTTTGTATTCTTTATCGTATTTTAACTAGAAACAGGGTAATTTTTGTAATTGTATTTTAATAGTAAGATATTCCTCATTATCTAATTTTAATATGCTTTTTTTTTCCATTTCCAACCATTCTTACTTTAAGATGCGTACTGCGAGGGCAAAGTTTTGTTTATTGTTTGAATTTTATTTTGACCATTACTACTCCTTTTTTTTAGTATGATTTATCATGATTTAGAGTTTCTTATTTTTAACTGCATAAATGTAAATGAAACAATATTTAACGACGAAACTGTCACTAAAAGTAAACATTTTTATTCAGGTTTCAATAAAGTATATAAAAAGCCGAAGGATATCAGTCAAATTTAATTATGCATTTATACTGATATTTTAGGGGCAGAAGCAGTACCGAATCAAAGTTAGAGACATTTCAAAATCAAGGTGATTTTCGGAAATTAGCACAAACATTTCACACTATTGAGCCAATTTGCATTTCAAATAATACTGTATGTATTCGCTATGTAAATATTTTTTATTTGGTTTCCCAATTATAATTATTTCAAGTGCAAATCATTCTTTAAACTGAAATTTCTTGCATTGTCCAAAAAATTTAGTCAGTTTATTTACAGGAAGGTAGTTTTCTGGAATGTTCCAGTCATTTAAGATTCTGTTATGCAAGAAATATTTTCTTTGATTTCAAAAGTTTGAATTCGAAAACTTCGAAGAGGTGAATGATGTCATAATTTGGTTATTTCTTCAATATTTTAAATGAATTTAGAATTTCATTAAAGTTATTGTTTGTGATTGCAACTCGTTCACAACATTTATTTGCTATAAAAAAAACCTTGAATTTAAGGTACCGAAATGATGTGATCCAGAAGGGACAAGTTGGTGGAAACTGTAATGTACTATTTGACGAAAAATTGCTACATAGCAGAGCGGATGAAAAAAGTTATTTGCAGAGTTGGTAAGTAATTGGTTTACAGAAACTGAGGATGATGTTTTTCAGCGAAGTTCTTCCTCTAACATTATTAAATTTTCTCTTTAATCGACTACTATGTGACCTTTTTTAAAGAGTATTTCTGAAACTATGTGACTCTTTGTAAAGGGTATTTCTTTCTTTTCCAGTACTTTGACTATGTTTTGATACTACTCTAATCATTTTGGATGGAACTGTAATTAATGTTAACCATTCTAGGGCTCATGAATTAGAGTATTTTAAATCATACCGTGATTTTCGGATTTCGGAACATCGATGTGATGTAATTTTTGATAAGCCAACAGTGCTAATTAAATTGGATGCATCAGTAAATATGTATCATCATTTCTGTGATTTTATCAATCTGTATGCTAGCCAACATATTAATGGTTCTGTTGATATGGATATCGATATCCTTTGGTGGGATACGGTTGGTTTTGTCATTCGATTAACAAATTTTGCTGATTATTCTTCTTTTGCATTAGCTGTGTTAATCGAAGATTGAAAGTTGCTCTTTCTGCTTCATTTAAATAGCGAAATTATAAAATTTGATCTATAACCGATCAAGTGACAGGTTCATGCTGAAATCAAAACTGATCCAGCTTGAGCTCAACAAATTTAACAAAGTAATGGTTTACTATAGTCTTTTTTATGACATATTTTTAGTGGTTTAATGGCTTTGTTGATCCCACATTTGGAGCTACTTGGCGTGCTTTCACAGTGAACACACCTCATGAATTGATTGAGCTGGATGGGAAAATGGTCTGTTTCCGGAATGCCATGTTTTCAATGCTTGCTAGACAGCGATTCGGTCTCTATTATAATATGCCATTAGTAAGTTTTTTTTAAAAAATAAATTTTTGTGGCTTTTTTGCAGAAGTTTGTAAACAAAATGTGAATAAAATACTAGAGAGTAGCTTATTTTAATAATGTAAAATATATGAAAGTGGTGATTTTTCAACTTAAAATGACCGAATTTGTTGACTTGGTTTTAGAGTACTTTTATAGGCCAAAATTCCATCAGGAGATTATGACTGAGTGAGATGGGAGAGGGAAAAAACTATTCTTGTTTGATTTATTTTGAATCCAATTGGATTTTTTTTGTCTTAGATACTTTGATTAAAGCTTATTGCTTTTTAGCTAAAAAAAAAAAAAAAAAATGACATTTAATTGTTCAGTTTTTCTAACCTTATTTGTTGATTATGTTCCATAAATATAGTTAGTATCATTTATACTCTTTCCATTTTTTAGTTAAACTGCCTCAAGTACTTTTCATCTCACATTATAGACGCCAGGAAAACTCAATCATAATTGAAACCATAAAATGTCCTTAATATTTTGATGCATAAACCGTTATCTCATTAATTATCAGTCGATAATTAACAGAGCCGGTTATTTCTCAATTTATTAATAATAAACTTGTTGGAAATAGTAAAACTCGAGTTTTCAAAATTCAAATATTTGGAAAATTGTTTTTCGATTGATGGCTGTGAAGGAAGTGGCCTCATTCATGCATTTTCTCGGCATATTCTTCATCGTTTGATGATTCGACAAAATGGACCATTATTAAATAAGATTCGCGTAACGCTATTGTCAAGGAGTACTCCATTCAGGAAAATAATTAACGAAGATGAGGTAAGTCAATAATTATGAATTATTTATTATTTCTTTTTAGCTGTTTATTTTGAATGTGGTTAGGTTAAATATTATTTATTTTGTAAAAATAGCTGAAGGAGAATATTTATGAATCCACTTTGTTAAGCTCATAAGCTATCTTTGTTGCTTTGGTTACCACCGCTTGTTTGTACACCAACGGATGCATTTTCGATTTCACTTTCATCAAATGTTTCTACTTGTTTCAATTCAATTGGAACGAGCACTGTCTGAAAATTTATTTTTTACTCAATTATGTTAATTCTTTGGTTCGTCCTTCAAAACTCAAAAATTTTTCATATATTGAAAAGTTTTTTTTTTTTTTCAATTTTTGGCGTTTTTTACTTACACATGTTTTTTATACAATAAAGCCAGTCAAAGAAATAAGCTATTTCCTTTTCGATCTTTTGAAAAAATTCTTCGACTGACCTGTTGTCCGATGAGAGGTTGCGTGAAAAAGTAGCCGCGTGTTATTCGATCACTTTGAATGTGCCGTAAATTCTTGAAAAGTATATTCAAAATTCCAGCGCAGCATAATGCTGAAAAAAAAAAAAACAGATGCTTTTTTGAGCGAGAATATTTTTATTTGAAATGAAAATTTCGAATCATCGACTGCTTCATCCTAATCAGTAACTTTTCCTGTATATATCTTAAAAATTACTGCTGGTTCTGGGATTTGTCAATCTTATCGCTTGAAACTTATGTGACATTTCGCTTGGAGCTTATGTAACATTAACGCTACTGGGTTGTCAGATCTTTTATTCATATAGTTTTAATTACAAAGAGAGTAATTTCTTTTTCTTTCGAAATATTTATCGGAATGTGTTACCTTGTATGGGAGAAAGTACCATGTGCAAACTGTACATAGCTACTCGTGTATTGGATACAATTCGATTAAGTTCTAGGAAATTTTCCTGAAAAGTGATCATAAATTTTAATGAACGAATGAGTGAATGAATGTTCACTTGTAATTTTAAAAAATACTTTCTGCTCTTTTTTCTTTTTTGATAGATCAAGAATGCAATTTGTTCATGTAAATTTATTGAGCAAGTAGTAACCTCATAAAATGACCATCCTTGACCTCGTATTTGTTTATCTTCACCATAGATTAAGTATGCCGTCCAAATGAATACTGTCACGGCAACAATAAAGCTGATACTAGTAAATGCAATACAAAGCATCTAAAATATTCATTAATAAATAAGAAATAAAAATATAAGAACATTGATAATATTCGTATCACTTTTAAAAAGATGTAATGTTGATCTTTTTTTTTTTTTGATTTCTATCAGAACTATTTTGAAAATGAAAAATTTAGAAATCATAAATTTCTAAAGCAATAAGGAAAAGGCGATCATTAGATGATATGTGAAAAGATTTGGGTGCTTATCTATCCACTACAAATCATACTTAAAGATTTGTTTTATTCAAATTGAAATTAGTAAATAATAACCATACAAATAAAGGATAGAATTGCTTTTCTTCAACTATTTAATTTAATGTTTCCAAAATTTTTACAGAAGTTTAATTTTTATTGCAAAATTTTCCAATTTTTACCAGAAATGTCCGTGTTGGCTTATATCGTATGAAACATAAAATAGTGGAAGCATTGAGCATAAATGCGAAACTTGCAATAACAGCCAGATAATACGGACAGCCATCATAAAAAACACATATTATACCAAAAATCATCTATAAAATAATCAAATTAATAAAGAAATTAAAAGCTTAATGGGGTTTTTTATTTTCAAATTTAAATAAATGTCATTTACTAATTGAAGTGCTGCACCAAAAGCGACCAAAGTAAGAGTGAGTAATGTTCGTGCTTGCATTAGTATAACTTGGTTTGTAACCACTTGATCAATCTAAAATTTGAAATTTATGAAATCAATTTTTCCATAATTGTTTTATTTTTGTAATGTAGGATTTGGAATTTTTATTTTATTAAAATTTGAGAAATTTCTAAATTTCAAAGTTTTCCACTATTAACTAATAAGAAATATCTTTTCAATACCAATTAGTTTAACAAGAAAATGATAAAAAATAATAACAAGCATACATGGAATGACGGCGAATTGACGGTTCCTTTGGACGTTGAACTTTCAATCATTTGATTTACATTGTGGATATTTGCAATCGTACGTACTGAAAATTTCATATGTAACAAAGGATTGTCATGAAACCATGACTGAAAAAAAAAAGATAGATGAAATTTCATAAATCGAATTTTGTATTTTTTTATAAGAGAATTTCTTAGTTTTGTAATCACTTACATTTCCTATCTGTTCTGCAGATAAACTTCTGAAATAACAATAGTTTGCAATTTTATATCTAATAACTAATCTTTATTACTATCTTTAATTTTTAAATTTCTTAAAGAATTTCTTAATTTTTTTTCTTAATTTAAGGCATTTATGTGTTCGAGGGAAATTTGAAAAAATTTCACTATATACCTGTAGATTTTGTTGTTACAGTATCATCTGATTCTACCGTTGTAATGGAATCTGTATGATTCCGTTGAATTCCACAACCATCAATCAAGTGTTGTAGTCCATAGGTATCACGATAGTAAACAGTGGGCGGGAATGATCCAACTGGCTTAAAAAAAAGGGACGAATTAATTAATTCTGAATTTTAGAAATTCGGCAATTATGTTACTAAGTTTATTATTTACAAATATTAAATATTTTATTTTCGATTGTTATTGATGTGAGATTAAATACCCTTAAAGTAGTGATTATAATTAATTGTGACTACCACAAGAGAATTTAAGATTCAGGTACATGGATTACTGATTAGAATTTAATAATTAGAAAACATGAACGACATTAACGAACTAGACTGTTTGAAGAAGTCCTGTAGGGAATTGGTGCAGCCATAATGATAGCATGCAAATGAATCTCGAAAATATATATCAGTTTAACGATAACCGATGGAATATGATATTATTATTATCAATTTCATCTCAAATTCATCGTTAATGCATTCGTTCGATACAAATTCATCCATTATTTGAAGCTGTAATCTTTTTTTTTTTTTTTAATTTATGAATTAAATTGAAGTGATGAAAATAATAAATGAAAATTAATGATGTATAAGAATGAAATCTAAATCAGTCATAGTGTCTAAAAATTAGAATGTAAGAAATGTCGTATTTTATTTAATATATTTACAGCAAATAAATTTAAAAAAAAAAAAATGGAATAAAAAATAAGGGATAGGTGAATAAGATATGAGCGCAATAAATGATAATATTCATGATATTAATAAAATGAGATTAATTTATGGTTAAATCAAAATCTAAACCTGCTTAATTTAAAATAAATACGAAATTGATGGAATTAATTGAAGAGAAAATAGATTGGAATTTTTAACATTATTCTCTTTAATTAATAATACTCTAAGCATAATACTATAAGCATATTAATTTAATTTTTAGTTAAAATTATTTCGCTAATTGATATATTAATTTTTTCTGTGTAGTTATACAAAATGAATAATTCATTAATAGGTATAGTAATTAAAAGAAAAATTTTAACAATACTTTTCAATACTGATAAATGTTAACAATATATGTTTAGAAAAGAAAAAGAAAGAAAAAAACTTGATAGAATTATAGTGTGATTGTTTGTTAAGGTGAAGAAAGTAAGATTGAAGAGAAATGAAGAAGTATGTAATGTTTGAAGTGAACAATTTATTGATGCATTTAAAGAATGAAATTGTTAAAATGGCTCAGTTAGTTAGTTAGTTACTAACACTGATTCACAATGATAAGATACACACACATACACACACAAATAAACAAAAAGATAGACAAACAGACGGATTTATCTATTGGCAGTTAAAGTCTATTATCACTATTTATCCTATCATCCTTATCCATTCATTCATTCATTGATGATCGTTTTTCAAAAAAGATGTGATAGTACTTGAAATGATTATGTTAAGCGTTTTGAGCAGAAATTTTTGTCGCAATAGAAATGATGGGATTACTTTATGTTATAATTATATCTTCTTAAAATGTGTTCTCTTTTTAGTATTTTTTCAGCTTTTTCTTTCCTTTTCATTCTAAGTAGTAATTAATATATGTTTTTTGATTGATCGATTTATTTGATTATTTAATTTTCCAAGTAAAAATATATAAATTTACACGAGAGAAATGCAATGTTATTTCAAAAAAAAAAAAAAAAAAAAGGAAAGGAAAGGAAATTAATAACTTATGTTATTTTTTCTTTTCTTGTTGCTTTACTTTATCTTTGTTTTCTTTCTGCTTGTTTGTTTGTTCTTTCTTTCGATACTGTCTGAAATTAAAAATTTTTGAGCTAGCATTTCAATTTTCAACTGACATATTCGTCCATCTCATCTACAATGATTATTTTCTTTTTCTTTTTTTTTATTTTGAATTTTTGCTACTTGATATGATAGATGATATCAAGGCTATTTATATCCGCTATTCAAAAACAAAATTAATTGCAGTTAATTTGTAACGATTACGATATATAATTAGATTATGCTAACTATGCATTTATTTTAAATTTTACTAATATTTATTACTTTATTAAGTATCAATTAATTAATATTTATGTACTATTGCTGTATTATTTCAGTTTTCATATTAAATTTACTTTTCTAAATTTAATAACTTATTATAATCGTTTTTTTTTCTTTCTTTTTTTCTTAAAAACATTATATCATTTTAGCTAATGGATGTTTTGAAGAGTATTCCGGGTGTTGTTGAAAGACAAATTGATTATAACAGGTTTCTGTTATTAATATTCTTTGTTTAATTCTTTAATTCTTTTTTATTTTGAATTTCAGTTTTTATAATTGATGTTGTCGAATTATTATAGAAGCATTACGTTTTTACAACAATTGGAAATAACACATAATAGTGATATATTCATTGGAATGCATGGTAGTGGTTTAACGCATTTGTTATTTTTACCGGATTGGGCTGTCATCTTCGAATTGTATGTTTTCGTTTCATATATGTTTTTTTTTTTTTTTCTGGATTACTTATATGTCTTTAGTGAAGATTTTTTTCCGGTTTGGGCTCTCATCTTGAAATTGTATGCTTCCGTTCATATATATATATATATATATATATATATATATATATATAATTGATTATATTTTAGCGAAGATTAATCATAAGTGATAAATGATTATGATTGATTTTATTCAAAAATTTTGCTATATATGATAGACAAATAAGAAGTGGAAAAGAAGGGGGAGAGAGAGAAAATGAAAGAGGGAGGACAGTAAAAGAGGGAATGAGGATTTCAAAGTTAGATTTTATTTTTAATTTTTGTTTCCTTTTTTTCGAACTTGTTTTTGTTTCGTTTTTTTTTTTTTGTCAAAACTTTTTTGCAAAAATTTAATGATTATTTACTATTTATTATAAAATTATATCATTTATTAATTAGGAATAGATTGTATTAAGCAATTCAAGAGCTTCAATATTGATTTTGTATTTGTTTTCTTTAATTTTGACTTTAATTATTTGTATTGTTTAATTTCTGTCCAATATTTTAAGGTACAATTGTGGTGATACGAATTGTTATTGGGATTTAGCACGTTTACGAGGTGTTAAATATTTTACATGGACAAAAAGTGATAAAGTATTTCCAGTTGGTGACGGTATACATCCACAAACGGGTAAGCTACATCAAAAATTTCAGAATTATCGATTTGATCGGGATGAATTTCGAAGGCTTGTTCTGATGGTAAGCGTGATTTTTTATGTTTGTTTGTAGGTTGAATTTTTAGGAATTTCTCATCGTATGCTTTTAGTGAAGTTGTGAATATATTAGCTTTAATTGAATTTGATTATTCATATATTTTAATTTGCAGGTATGAATTTAATAGATGAAATAATACAAATTAGAGATTTCAAATATTTTTTCATAATACTGATTATTATTTTTTGCTTGAATTTTTCAAATTTCTTGATTTTTTTTTCTTTTCTTTTGCATGATAAAGCAACTTTTGTGTGAGCTATGTTTTAATCTTGTTCATTTTAAACATTCAAAGTACAGTTCAAATTATATTCTTTTTTTATGGTTATAGCTATGAATGAATTATAAAATTTGTTCCTTTGAAATTTAGTAGTAATTTTCAAAATTTTTGCTAGTAATTATCACAGTATTCATTATGGATAAGAAGTTTATGTAAAATTAAAATATTAAAAAAAAATTTTATATGTCATAAAATCAATTCAATTTATTTAAGCAAGTGGAATATGTGCTAAGTCATCCAGCATATGTCATAGAATTACGGAAACAAAAACGAAAACAGTATAATGAAGAACTGTGAAGAATTGTTTATTTTGTTTATGCAAATTTTGAATATGGGCTTTTAATTGTAAATTTGATTTTTTTTATTCTGTAATTTTTTTTTTTATTTAATTCATTTATTATCATTTTAAGTTAGATTTCGTTACTTTATGTAAAATATTGCAGCAAATTTTAAGCTTATCGTACATTTGATAGAGAAAATAGCTAATGGGATTGTGTAAATTAGATTAGCCTGAAATGATTGATGAAATTAATTAAATTTGTGTTTAGATCGTTTTTATCAGTTTTTTTTATCTGTTCATGTAAAAATTATTGCATCTTTTAGTTTAAATCAGAATAACATTTTACCTTCCTCAGTTCTAGTTATTATTTGCTTTTTATTTCTAATACAAAATTTAATGATCGTCGAGGAGCATCATTCTGTTTCTTTTTTGTAGGAGAATGAAAGATATGGATAAAATTAGAATTGTAATCATTTCAGAGCAAAATTATGTGACGAAAGTAGTTGCACCTTTTAGATGAAATTCTTTATGAAAATTGTTAATTAGCGTACTTTTTCATATCGTAAATGATATTCTTTCATATCGGTTGGCTTCCATTTCCTTTTTTTTTTTGAAAAATTGTAAAATATATTTGTTACTTGTTTGAATTTGTTAAATTGTTTTCTTGTTATTATTGTTGTAATTGTCTGAACAAATACTTCATGTATTTCTTTTCATTTTCTCTGTTTTTTTCTTTTTTAAAGAAAATACAACCGATTAATAATTTGTTAAGTACTAAGCATTTTTTTATACCATCATTTATGATTAGTAAAATAATAATTATGATTGATATTGGATGATATCTTTTTACACTCATAATGACTGAATATTTTTATTAATCTTAGTATTATATTAGTTATTGCAAAATTTCATATTATTATTTAATCATAATGATTAAATAATGTTAATTATTAGTCATAAAAGAATCAATAATGATTATTAGTATTGCAATGATGAAAGAGAATGAAATGTTGAATTAAGTGATGGAATTATGACATTACTAATCAGTAAATCTTCAACATTTGTTAGTTATCTCTTTGATAAACGGAAATGCGTCATTAAATGCAATGAATAAACTACTAAACATCAGTGGGATGTGAGTGAATAGACACTGATGAATGATAATTTATTAAATTTATTAATTTAACAGTATAATACAGTAAACAAATCTTTTTTATTTTTATTTTTTTTTTTGCAAGAGTAACACAAGCAAATAAAATTCTAATAGTTTTTTTACAAACTAGCAGTAATTGATATGTGAAAAGCACTAACTTTGTATTATGAAATTTCATAGTTTATTTAAATATTGAAAAAGAAAAAAACAAAAAAAAAGGAGGGAAACAGAAATTTTAATTGTCAGAAAAGTGTATGGTAAAGTTTTTATTTATTTATTGTAATCAATCAGTTCCTAGCTATTTGTAAAAAAAAAAAGATAAATCAATAATCGGTGATAATAGGGGAACAATATTTTGTTTTTATCGCTAAAGTAAAATCGAAAGTATAACTTCAACAATTTTTCTACTTTTGGTTTTTAATTGAATAAAAAAAAATGAAAGAGAAAAAAAAGGGAGGGAGAGAAAGAAAAAGAAAAACGAAGAATAAGCAAAGAAAGAAGGAGAAAAATGATTGATAATCACTTTTCCAACTTTTTGTGCTAAAATCTGAAAATAATTTTTACATTACCAATTTATAACAAAATATTGAAAGCATATTATTATACCTCTCTCTCCTTTCTTTTTATTTCTTATCCCACTCTCTCTTTTCTCATAATAATATCTGATAATGCAATTCATTAAATTAAAAATCAAAATTTTCTGTCATTTGTCTCATAATATATTAGTCAGTATATCTTAAGTTATATACTTACAATTTTCTTCATAAATTTTTCACTACGCTTAATAATTTTTAGTTAAAATAAATTTAAAATTTGTTATATTAAATGATGATTTCTTTATTATCAATTTTTTTATTGAATATAAGAGATAAGAAAATTTTAACATTCATTGCAATTTTGCGTAATAATAAAATTCAAATTAAAAAAACTAAAGACGTATAAGAGACGATAATAATAGGTAGGACAAATAAACAACGAAATTTTCATATTATAATAACATAAATATCAAATATTTGTTTATTAGAACAAATTAATTAAACGGATTGGTGTCATTAAGTCATTAACTAATTATCACTATTATCGTCATTATCATTACCAATTAAATTATCAATTATTATCAACTCAATACTCATTTGATAGCAGTGACGATGATGATAAAATATCTGGTGACTATTATTATCATTTACCATTAATTATCGTCATTACCGTATAAAAAGTTTGATATGCAAAATTTTTGAAATAATTTATGAATAAAATAATGAATTCAGTAGTTACATTTGATTAAAATGTTAATTAAATTTTACCATTTAAAAGTGCAGTGAGTGCTTATTGATCAGTGAATTATTTAAGAAATAAAATTCCAATATTGTCAGGTAATCATTTTATCATAAATGAATGATTAATTAAATTTTGTGATATTAACGATTTTTTTTCCTTTTAATATTATAATAATATTGGTTGCAAACATGTGAGAAAAATTTCCTTTCTTCAAGTCATTTCGAAAATTAAAGTGAAAAAAAAACCTATATGTGACCAAAATAAGAGGTACAATAAATGACAAAATTTTCATATTAATGAAATGAAACAAAAATAGCAAATCATCGTAGAAACAAAAGAAAAGCTAAATGGGAATTAAATTTTAATATTAACAATGAAGCTATGCAAATACAATAAGTTTATTATAATTTATAAAAATCATAATTTAAAAAAATTTTTTTTTGTAAATTAAAATATTAAAAATGAACTTCTTTTAATTCTTTTGCTCTCTCGTTATCATTTTATTTTTTTAAAAGAATCATCGCATAACTGGTGATGATTACATTTGAGCTGATTGGTGAATAGAAGAAGCAAGTACTTCGAAATGTCAACAACAATACGCTTTTAGCACAAATGCTTTAAAAAAAGAAAGAAAAGATAAAATCCGAAATCCATTGGGAGTATCGGATAATGTTTTCTTTACTTTAAGTAAAATTCAATTTTTTAATTTTCATTTCATTGCTGCAAAGCAAAACCGGCAATTGAAATATACTTTTTTTTTTTTTTTTTAGCAATCCTTAAAAAATATAGTATAGTTGTCTGATTTGTTATTTGAAATTAGTTTTTAGGAAGGCGATGAAGTGACGATTGTGGTATGGAGGCAAATGGTAAAAATATCAACAAATTGTTGATATTTCGAATTCATTATTGTCGTTTTCCCTTATTCTTTTTTTAAAAACAAAACATTTTTTTGTTTAAGTTATAAGAATTTTACCAATTCGTAATTTAACATATTATTTCGGATTTTATAACTTCAAATAATAAAAATGATGATGCACTGATAAAATTTAAATTATTATAAGATTAATATAGTGATTATTATTTCGTTTAGCAGTGTTAAGTTTTTGATTACTATTTGCAATTCTTAATAGCACAATTTTTCTTTTTTCTGATTAATGTCTTTGAATGCAAACTATTTTATAATTAAACGCTTAATTATTTTCAATTAAATACAAAATTTAACATAAAAATATATCAATTATATGACATTCATATATAAATGTTATAATAATAATAACATCAATAATAATAATAATAATAAATAATAATAACAATAATAATAATAATAATTCCTTAAAAATAACAAAAAGAAAAATAAAAAATCCTTTTGCGAAAAAAATTAAAAAATTGTTACCATTATTATAATATTCCAATAGTCACTGGACGATTAATTTCCAAAATTTTAATTAAAAGAAAAAAATAGCATTTTTCATATAATTTCTAATTTAACATTATTTTCTACAATTTCATTATTCTTCTAATTCAGTTACATTTTATCATGGAATAAAAATTAATTTAATATGAAATTCATTACATAACAATAAATATTTGTTAACAAAAAAATAAAACAAGTTAAAAAAAATTGAAAAAACGAAAGTTTTGTTATTGATGATGACAATATGTAAACCCAATTAATTAGGTTAAATTTATCATAAGCAACTCAGTTCGTCATTTGTGTCATTCTTTTCTTTCATTTTCATTTTTTTTCTTAAATCACATTCTATGGAAAATAGTTCATCCATTTAATTACATACATTTCTTTTTTGAAATCATTAAAAATTTTTTAGTTTTTACTTATTGCAATTTTTGGCCAACCGTTCTTTGCATTATTAGCATTAGTGACAAATAACAGCTGTACTTTTAAAAATAAATGACCATCCGAAATTGTGATATTATCAAGAAATGATTAATTCATTTATTATTTAATAATGAAATTTTGAATAATAATAGAAGCTGTGAAAATTTTTGTTCTTATTTTGTTATTTATAATTCATTAATCTTCATGCAATTAAGTTGTAAATATTAACTTAGCAATTTGATCAAAAATTTTTGTTATTCAAAAAATAATTAAAAAATTAAGTTAACTTGCTTTTTTTGTCATTAGATATCACTTTTAGAAGGTTATTATTATTATTATCATTATTATTGTTATTACTATTAATGATCATTGTTAATATTATTACTGCTATTATTATTTTTTTATTATTATTATCAGCAAAAGTAATTTTTAGCTATAAAATGATAAATGTGAGAAATAATTTTGCAGGGATAGTGGAAAAGAAATTTTAAACAAATTTAATTTTCCTTGTCTAATGTATGTTAATTAATAAAAAATTTGGAATTGCAATTAATTTAGAATATTCATTAAAAATAGAGTGAAAATAATTATGTTTAAAAGTTTGTTGACAAATGATCATTTCATTAATGATAGTGATTTATCATATATTATTAACTTGATGTTATTTTTTCCGGAACTTTGATATATTCTTTAACGATTAACAATTAGACCTCTTTATCTCGTGTTTACTTTCTCTTTTCTTTCCTTTT